TCCTCCTTCTGGATACCCTCCTGTAAAGCATGCTGCTGTGTTATACACATACATTGTCAACATTCATTTGTCGACAAGCTTTCTTGTTTGTTTGTTTGATTGTTTTTGTTCTACAACCCTTAGTGAGGAGGCCTCTGCTTTCCTTCTGCATCTGCACAGGCCCTGACTCGTGGCTGGTTACACAGAAGTCTTCTGCAGATTTATAGCCTGCCCTGGTTTTCGGCTCCAAGGGTCCTTTAAAGTTAATCCGGGCCTGCTGAAGTCCTCAGATGCCCAGTTAAAGGCTTTGAACCTGCAGGAGCAGACCATGTGTGTCGCACCCCAGTCCCCATTTGCTGCAGATGTTAGATTGGACGATGAATCTCTGGGATTTCAAGAGATTCAGGCTTAATGACCCAGCTCTGGCTCATGTCTATAAAAGCCAGGGAACCTTGGCTAAGCTAGTCAGCACAGCTGGCCAGGATGTCCACAGAGAAATGGCGTCTCAGTGTCTCAGGGAGGAGGGGAAGGATGGGGCAGAGGTGTGTCTCCTGTGGGCAGCCCCCAGGGAGCCAAGGCAGCCTACCAGTGAGGACCCAGCAAGCAGGTTTTGCTCTGCTCGGTCTCTGTTTCCCCAAGGGCAGAGCGGAGAGCTGGGGGCTTTACTGGATAAATCTGAGATCCTTTTCCTTTCTAATGAAAGGACACCCCATCCCAGTGGGAAAAGGGGAATTAAAATTGTGTGAAGCCCTCAGTTTCCTGAGATAGAATGGCCAGAAATGGCGTGTGGGGAGCTGCCACAGTTCAGACTGATTTCAGGGGCATATATGAAGCCTTGGCCTGGCAACTTGGTGGTTTGTGACCTCTCTGAGCTTCAGTTGCTTTTTCTTTAAAATCAGGAGCAGGAGCGCCTTCCCTATGGAGCTCTGATGAGGACTCGGGGTGGTGTTTTGGAGCGCATGGCGGAGGGTGGGACTTGGTGTTGTGACGAAAAGTGATTAGACCCATATCACAGGTGAGTGAATAGAGGTGCAGAGATGTGGGCGTGTGACCTCAGGGCTACAGAGCAATGAGGGCGGGCCAGGCTCACCCTCACTATTCACTTCTGCCTGTTGCTGATTCTCAATCTCTTGGAAGCTGAGATTTTCCCAGCGTTTGCTCTGTATTTTTCCCCTGTCCTGGGGGCTGCCTTTGTCATGTGGAGGGTGAAGGTAGAGATGCTTCTCCTAAAACCCCAGAAGCAAGGCTTGCTGTCCATCCCCACACAGGCTCATGGCTCCAAGCAAGATCAACAGCCTCCCAGCTTGAGCAGAATTGCTGCTTTGACAGAAATCCTGAATTTTCCAGCATGTAGGTGCTCTTGTGTTCAGCAGGTTGGCTGTGCAGGGGCCAGGTGCTTCTCCCTCACTGTCCTGAGGCTCTGTCCACTCCCATTATTCTAAGCCCTTTGTCTCCAGGATCTTGCTCACATTCTAGGGCTCTTCACCAAAAGAACACATGGCCTTGAAGAGGTTGAAAGCAAGGAAGTCTGGGTACCGCCTCTCCCTAAGCTAGGAACTGCTCTGTCTTCAGGAAGCCAATTAGATCTGTTTTTAGAAAAAAAAAATAGCAGTTCAACTGTAACCCATTGTCAGATGGCTTTGGGTCACTCCCTGCCTACTTTCCAGAGAAGTGGCTGAATTCAGTAAGAACTGAAATGTTCATAGAATGGAATCTGCCATTTTTTTTTCCTTCGAATCTGGGGTGCTACCTCTCATGGTGACATGTTTACACAGTAGTCCCTGAGGAGTCACATAATAATGCTGATGGAGCGAGGGTTCCCCTAGACCTTCATGTCTATTACATGTGCTGAGGGTATGAGCAACTCTTAGAAAAGTACGTAGGGACAAATGTGATGCTTCCTATCTGGCTTCAGTGATGGGACGATTGGGATGGTATGAGAGAGCTGGCATCAGCGAGAGACACAGCCAGAGAGAGCCTAAGGATGTGATGTTGGAGGCCTCCCATACCACACAGAGGATCCAGTATCTCTCCTGAAGCACCGGCATCAGAACAAGGCCATGGCGTGATCATGTCTATTTGTGGGAAGATTTCCGTGGCGGCAATTGAGAGCTGGATTACAGCAGGCTGATTGGAGACAAGAACGCTGGCTCATAAACTATTTCAGTGATAACAGTTAGAAAGAAATTAGTAAGAATTTTAAATGTCATCAGTGCGGTAAGATTTTACTTACCCTTGCTTGGGTGCTGGGAGAAGATTCCAGAGAGGAAAAAAATTCTCAGGATGTTCATCAGCTAGTTGTTTGAACACTGGCAGCTCCTGCAAAGCCCCAGTGGCCCTCATTTACTCTGGGAATGTTTATGAGCCACTTAGATATGCCAGCACTTAAGCCAAAGGAACGGGTTTGTTATGGTAAAGTGTCAGGCATCTTGGCAGGTTAGTAGGGAAGATATTTTTGGATAGGAAAGAGAACTACTTTCTTGCCCTATGCACAAAACTGTCTTCTCCCATGATAATTAAATGGTCTTCTGCTTTTGTATCCTTTTACATTTCATCCTCACACCCCCTAACTATGATGTTGTCTCATACGAACATCAAGAGCCTGGCCTTCTGAGGACAACTGTCAATCTATATATGGCCTCGGCAGCAGGCCCAGGCTTAAAAAGCTGTGTAAAGTAGGGCACCACCAGCCCTGGAAGAGCAGCGGATCATACCCCAGGCACTCTTCTAGGCGTTTCATAAGTAGTATCCCCTTTGAGTCTTACAGTGGCCGTTTGAGTAGGCAATGCCCAACACTCATTTCACTGCTGGGAGAAAGGAAGCCTGAAGAAGCCAAGCCCACGGGATGGGGTCACAGACCTGGCAGGGGTAGTTCCTGCTGTGCTGCTCTGTCTACACTGCCACGATGACTCTAGAGCAGGGAGGAGCCTCGGACACAGACTCATGGATGTGGGCTGCTCTGGTGCCTGCTGCATTGCTGCGTGCTCTGTGCCAGGCAGTGGGCTATGCTTGTGAACCAGCCACCCGGGGACATTTGGTTCTCTATGAGTCTCCAGGCAGGCTCAGGATTTCAACCCTTGTCACTTCCCTTTGGGAAATACCTGATAAGAAATAGGAATGGAAAAAAAGGGAATAACTAAACAAAAACCGAAACAACACATCCCCGGAAAACATAATAAGAACAATAATGAAATCAATGACACACTGTGTTAGGAGATCGTAGTAATATGTCATATTTCTTTTCCCTCCGCATTCAGAAGAGGCTCTAAGAACATTCTTTTATTTTACTTTATTTGTACTTGTTATTGAGTCTTTGTGAGTTTCACATCATGCACTCCAGTCCTTATATCTGCCCTCACTCTTGAAACTTCCCCCCCAAAATAAAAAAATACACACAAACAACAACAACAACAACAAAAACTCATTGCATAGAAAACATCTCATCACAGAAGCTGTAGTATGTCACAGTGTGTCCCACAGTGTATTTCTTTGTCCACTCATCTTCACTTGCAATGAGTCATTGGTCTGGTTCAAGGTCTCTGGCTTCTGCGACACCATCAATATTGATCCCTCGCCTGGACTCCTTTTGGTTATCCTGTTGTTGCCCTGTATCATGGAGATCCTGCAGCTTTGGATCAGCAGGACTGGCCTTTCACAAATCCCAACCATTCACAGATGATATGCATTTTAGGTGGGCCGGCTCAGAGCCCTGGATCTGGGCTTGGGTGGTAGCTGAATTGGTCAGTGAACCAGCTCTCTCTCATGTGCTCCACCAAGGCTAGCTCTCTATTACTGCTCCAGCTAGGCCACCCACGGCTGCCATCAGCAGGAGGCAGGGTCATCTCTCCTGTTCTCATACCCTTGGACTGACTTATCTACACCCAAGCCTCCATAGCTAGCTCCACTGTGGTACCCAGTTAAGGCACAGGGTCTACTCTCCAAAGCACTGCAGTCTGCGAGGGGCTAGGTCAGCTCTCCTGCTCTCACACCCTCAGGGCTGGCTCACCCATACTTTCACCATCAGGGCCAGTTCCACTATGGTACCCACATGAGGTTCTGGGCCCGCTCTCCCAAGTGTTACCACCAGTGAGGGGGCAGGGCTAGCTCTCCTGCCCTCCTGCCCAGCTCACCAGACTATCAGACTTCCACAGGTGGTGAGGGAGAAAGAAGGCACACCCCTACCCACACCACCTCAGGGCAGACAAATGGTGGGGCCAGCTCTCCCAAACTGTCACCCTGGGCCAACTTACCAGCACCCCCTCCATCAGGGCCAGCTCCGCTGTGCTGCCCAGGCGAGGTGCAGGGCCTGCTCTAGCGCTGCAGGTGGTGAGGGGTGAAGAGGGGCGGTGAGCATCACCCTGAATCCATGCCACCTCACAGCAGATGAGCGGTAAGGCCAGTTCTCCTTTGCTCACTCTGTTGGGGATGGCTTACCAAACCCCCAACACCATGCCCAGCTCCACCGTTTTACCTGGGCGAGGCACAGGGCCAGCTGAGAGACAGGGCCAGCTCTCCAGAGCTCTGCAGCCAGTGAGGGGCATGGCCAGTTAGGCACAACCCCTGGAAATCCATGTGGTCCCCGGTGGCTGCCCTGACCATGGATGTCCCTATGTTTTCTAATGGTAACATGAGCCATGGACATTACCAGTGACCCCTGCCACTGCATAGCCAGGGACTCAGACATGACCTTCAGTGGCAGCGTGGGCTGGGACCTCACAGCAGGCTCCAGTTCTGTCTCTCTTCATAATGCTCAAGCTCCTCCATTTTTTTTTTCTCTCCCCTCTGATCACCTCATAGTCACACATTGTGGTGGCTCCTACTGCAGGCTGGCCATGCAGCTGGTGGGGCCCTGGGTGATATCCTTCATTTGCTCTGTGCAGCATGGCAGCAAGTAGGGGTCTATGGCCCACATATGCTGTGTGCTGGACAGGTCTGTGGGCAGCGTGGCAGTCCACAGGTCTCTGTCTGTCTTCTTCCTCCTGAGATGCACTGCCTGGATTTGATTTGATTTGATTTGATTTTTATGTGTCCTAGGCATAAAGCAGCTTTGGCCACCAAGCCAGGCATTAATAAGCCAGGATGAACAGAGGACTGTCATCTGCTCTGCCCCTGACTGCTATAAGAACACCAGCACCAACAAGGTGTCTCTTTGACCATTGCTGGGGTGGGGTGGGGGTGGGGTGGTGATAGTGGTGGTGGTGGGGGAGTGGTGCTGAAGGCGGGGGGAAAAGGGGAGGGGGGGGGAAGAGAATATTCTTTAGTAGAATCTTGAGACATCCCAATCCGAGTGAGGCCACTAAAAATGTAGCTTTCTGCACTTTTGGCTGGCCTCCTGGACCTGCGGAGGTCACATACACCAGTTCCTTTGACAATGGATGTGCCGTGTGGCTGGTGTCGAGCTGTGGCATTGGCTCACTTCTTCGCAGGAGAGTTTAAGATTTAGTGTGCGGTTAGCAGTGCTTTTTCCTTTTCCGTGGCTCTTAGCAAGGTCACAGAAGGTCCATGCCATGTCAGCCTGTCTCAGAGCAGGGCAGAGATGGACATTCAGAGAGAGAGACACGGTGACACATTTCTTATCATGTGGTGGTGGTTTTAGGTCGTTCCTTCTCAGATCATAATCTACCAAGCCATGACTAACGTATAGAGTCTCTTGGACTAAAAGAGCCTCCGTGTTTTCCTGCTGAAAGAATTGCTGTGAGTCTCAGTTGCAGGTGAGCTAGAGGACAGACATTATGGCAAGGCTGTGACTAGACACATGCCTCACCTCAAAGTCACACACACTGAAGGAGATTAAAAATGGAAAAATCAAAAAGAAGATCATAATGACACTTGAAAGAAGCATGGAGATTTAGGTTTTCAGAGTTTCTCCATCTGTCATGATTTTTATGCAGAATAGTGACTAAAACAATATGTGACAGATTTTCTTTTCCAGGGTAGCCTTGACAATATCTGCCATCCCATATGCTCCTCTGCAGTGTGACCTTGGCATTCCTCCATCAAGAGTTCATTTCCACATCCTAGAATCTGGGTGGGCTGTGGCTGCTTTGACCAGCAGGATAAGAGGCATTGCTGCCAAGTTCTTGAAGGGGTCGTTAGTTGTTGAAAAGCTGCACCATCCTGTCTGCCATTTTCCGGCCTTTATGTAGAGAAGTCTGACTACTCTGAGGTTGCAGTTGACAGGAGGTCCACGTTGAATGTTTAGGCTCGAGGATGAGATGTCATCACATATTCGAATCCTCTATTGTGAAGGATGCAGTTGATGTTATGCAGGCTAAGATGAAGTAACCATATGAGTTCTTCTCAAGTTCTTAAGATACATAATTACGGTGAAACGAGTGGCTATTGGAACTACTATGTTTTGTGGACAAACAAAATACAGACAAATATCTATCTATCTTTCTCATATCATTCTATCTCTATCATCTATTTATTTATCATCAATCTCTATAATGTATCTACTTATCTGTCATCTCTACCTATCTATAATCTATCTATCTGTCTCTGTCTGTCTATCTATCTATCTATCTATCTATCTATCTATCTATCTATCTATCTATCTATCTATTATTTACCTGTCTATTTTCTGTCTATCTATCATCTAAATGTATATCTATTTCTCTTCTATCATCTAAATATCTATCTATCTTCTAGCATCTAAATGTCTATCTATGTGTCTATGTATGTATGTATGTATGTATGTATCTATCATCTATTTGTCTATCTCTATCTATCTATCTATCTATCTATCTATCTATCTATCTATCTATCTATCAACCGATCTGTCATTTATCTATAATAACTAACAACAAAACCCCAGGTGGTGGAGGGAACGTTACTTGTTACTTTTCTCACAGCTGCTCTAAATAACTGCAAGAAACAACTCAAAGGGGAAAAGGTTTATTTCAGCTTATGGTTCCAGTTCACGATCTCTTATCTCCATTGTTCTCTGGCTGGAATGAAACAGATCATGGTGGAGAACATGTGGAGGATGTGTTCATCACATAGAGGTTGGAAAAAAGAAGAGAGAGAGGGAATGAGCAGGGGATGGCGTTCTCTACACAGGTATGCCTTCTAGAGCCCACTTCCCGTTGTTGGCCTCTATATGCTGAACTCACCACCACCTCCTGCCAGAGCACCAGCGGCTGGGGACCAACCCTTCCACACACACAAGCTTGTGCGGGACCTTGCACGCTCACTCCAGCCCAGAAGACTCAATAACACCCGAGCCCATGTGAGATCTTGCACCCCCCACTCCAGCACAGAAGACTTGGTCTCTTTTGTTATTTAGAGACAAGGAAATGGCTGTTCTGACAGTGAACGATCTTCCTGCCATCTCAGGAACAAGGAAGACCAGCATGCAGATGTTCTTCTGATTGTGAGCCTAGCTCGAGGCTTTTCCACAACAAACCATGCTCCAACACATGGGATGCTTTAGATGTGTCCTACAGGTGACTGTCATGAGAAATAAAATATAGCTCTGGAGGCTGAGGGCCTTGCTTCTGGCCACTCTAGGCATCCAAGACACCTATTACACAAGACCTCTGTCTTCTGGCTCCTAGGTCCAGTTCTGTCCTCTGCAGGGTCTGGTTTGCCCTAGTATCCATCCACAAGAGGAAGAGCCGAAATGCCCGAACAACGAAAATGTATTTTGTTGTCTTTGTTTCTTGGTAATACTCTGTAAAAGCAAATGGTAATTCTCAGGGGAATATTAAATAAAAAGTCATAAAATAATCTCTGCCGCGGGCAGAGCATTTTCAGGGAAATTTGCTGTGTGTTAGTTGTGTTGTTAGAACGAAGGAGTAGAAGAAGCACAGGATTTATCTCTACTGCAGGGGCCCCCAGACCCACCCCAGACAGTCACTTTCTCCCATTTGAAGCTTTATGACCACACTCAATATATACTATGGCAACAGTCTCCCAACATAAGATGGCTCAACTTATTATTTTTCAACTGTAAGCTGCGATGAAAGCCGAGCGACGGAAACCATGCTGTACATTTTGAATGTCTTTTACTAGGCTGATCATATCTGACACAACACTTTTGTGGCGCTGGGCAGTTGGGGGGTGAGGTTGCAGCTCCCTGTCAGCGATGCAGTCATGCAGTCGCCAGGGGAAACAATGGCTTCTGTGTATTGTGTCGCCCGGGACTGTGTTTGCGTTTTGTACCTCATCATGTCTCCAATAAATTACATGCTACATTTAGTTCTTTGTTAGACGATAGGCTTTGTGTTAGGTAATTTTATCCAGCTCCAAGCTGGTTTGATGGAAGTATCCTGAACCTGTTTAAAGGAAGCTAAGCTAAGCTAGGATATGTGGTGAGTTCTGTGTCTTAAGTACATCTTTGGCTCATAGTATCTTTAACTTAAATGAATTTATTGAGGGCATACACCACTGTAACTTGAGGAGAATCTGTGTAACCATTACATACTTAAAATGTACATATATGTACATACAAGTTATATAACGACATGATTATTTAATTGAATGGATTAAGTTCCCATCATTGCTTTCAAATACAGCCTGTCAGATCTTTTCACTTTCTCCCTCGATGTTGCCTCCAAAGGATTCCATAACTTTTCATCTCTTGTCAGCTACAATGATCTCATTTTCAGGTGTCAAAACAGCTCATCAAATTGAAATACAAAATTTAATATTATTTCACATCTTCCTATGCTTTCCAATTAGAATGGCCCAGATAACGAGGGATCTCTAGTGAGACAGGAGGACACGGTGGCTTCTCTCTCTCCCTAGCTGCCATCCTGCCTTCCTGTACTACTGAGTCCTGACTGAACCCCCATGACTGATGGGTTTCTCACATGTAACTGACAGTGTTTGGAGCAAGGTTCCATCGGGAAGACCTGAATGCTCTCTAGGACCTGTGATGTCCGCTTGATACATCAGAGCCACACATCCATGAACCTCTTAAAGTGGCAGTACTGAGAGTCCAACCTTACCTCATCTCTCATCTTATGCATCATCTCCCAGGCAAGAACCAATCATGAGTCTCTAGACCGTATCCCAGACTTCCAGAGGACATTTTCAGTGTCTGAAAGGCTCTCCCCTTTGTGGAGGGATGAACTATCGGCACAATCCATGCTATCACACGCCACCCCCGAACTCAGCAACATGTAACTGTGTAATTTATCCTCATCATCACGGGCTGCAGTCTAAACAGCACAAGCTGGCCTTGCCAGAGCAGCTTGGCTGAAACTGTGGTTCTAGTTGGTCTTGGCTCTTTATGACTGGGCTCGGATTTGAACTGTGTGGCTTCATCTAGACCAGCAGTTCTCAACCTTCCTAATGCTGCGGCCCTTTAACACAGTTCCTCATGTGGCAGTGACCCCTTCCCCCCCCCAAATTTATTTTTGTTGCTGCTTCATAACTGTAGTTTTGCTACTGTTACGAATTGTAATGTAAATATCTGTGTTTTCCAATAGTCTCATGCAACCACTGTGAAAGGGTCATGACCCACAGGTTGAGAACCGTGGATCTAGACCAAAGGTAAGAAGTGATGGCTACCCACCCTTGAAGCAGGGCCTAGGCTAGGACAGAAGTGCAAAGGGACAAACTGACACTTCATATACAACTTTATTCTCTGCTCATACCACATAGAGCCCTAGAAAGTTCTGTGACTGTGCCCAGGCCCCAGGGATGCATTTAGTGTTCTCTGTGCCACTAGGCTCCAGCAAGACATCAATGGAAAGAACAGCCTTGTGGAAATGGCTGTGCGAGGGATATTTGCTGACAGGAAACCAGCTGACCACAATCCCATCATTCTGGGGCGGAAGTGGCTTCCTACTAACCCTCTCTCTTCAGGCATTTCCCCCTTTCGTGTCTTGAGGGAGCACTCTTGCTCCTCATTGCAAAGGGAAGGAGGAGGCAGGTTCTAGTTTGTGTTTTATGAACTGCTCCTGGGACTCTTCTTGTGTGTAACTGGCCGCTGGATTTCAACAGGTGCTGCCTGCCATGTTGAGAGGTTCTCTTGAAAGTGAGTGTCCGTGCAGTGCCTTCTTTCTTAGCTTTGGAGCCTTGTGCAACCAGAGGAAGCGTTCCAACCAAAGGAAAAGTTCTATAGGATTGTACCGGAGCTCCCACACTGCCTGCCTCTCTGACCTTTATTTCAAACACTGGCTATCCTTCCATGCCAAAACATATGCACTTTTTCCA